CAAAAAAAAAAAAAAAAAAAAAAGAAAAAACTCCTAGAAGAAATCATAGGCAAAACATTTTCTGACATAAATCATACCAGCGTTTTCTTAGCTCAGTCTCCCAAGGCAATAAAAATAAAAACTAAAATAAACAAATGGGACCTAATCAAACTTAAACTTTTGCACAGCAAAGGAAACCATAAACAAAAACAAAAAGACAACCTACCGAATAGAAAATATTTAAATGATGCGACCAACAGGGGCTTAATTTCCAAAATACACAAACAGCTTATACAACTCAACAACAAAAAACCAAACAACCAAATCAAAAAATGGGTAGAAGACGTAAACAGACATTCCTCCAAAGAATAAATACAGATGGCCAGTAGGCACATGAAAAGATGCTCAACATCACAAATTATTACGGAAATGCAAATCACAACTACAGTGAGGTACCACCTCCAGTCAAAATGGCCATCATTAAAAAGTCTACAAATAGCAAATGCTGGAGAGGGTATAGAGAAAAGAGAACACTCCAACACTGTTGGTGGGAATGTAAGTTGGTGTAGCCAGTATAGAGAACAGAATAGATGTTCCTCAAAAAACTAAAAACAGAATTACCATATGATCCAGCAATCCCACTCCTGGGCTTATATCCAGACAAAACTCCATTCCAAAAAGATACATGCACCCCTATGTTCACAGCAGCACTATTCACAATAGCCAAGACATGGAAACAACCTAAATGTCCATCAACAGATGAATGGATAAAGAAGATGTGGTACATATATACAATGGAATACTACTCAGCCTTAAAAAAGAATGAAATAATGCCATTTGCAGCAACATGGATGCAACTAGAGACTGTCTACTAAGTGAAGTAAGTCAAAGAGAAAGACAAATACCATGTGATATCACTTATATGTGGAATCTAAAATACAACACAAATGAACCTATGAAACAGAAAAAGAATCACAGATATAGAGAACAGACTGGTGGTTGCCAAGGGGGAGGGGGTTGGGGGGGAATGGAATAGGAGGTTGGGGTTAGCAGATGTAAGCTTTTACATACAGAATGGATAAACAACAAGGTCCTACTGTATAGCACAGTATTGAACTATGTTCAATATCCTATGATAAACCATAATGGAAAAGAATATTAAAAAAAAAGAATGTAAATATATGTATAACTGAATCCCTTTGCTATACAGCAGTAATTAACACAACACTGTAAATCAACTATACATCAATTAAAAAAAAAAATTTAAAGACCTAAATATAAGACACAACACTATAAAATTCCTAAGAGAGAACATAGGCAAAACATTCTTGGACATAATTTGTAGAAATATTTTCTCAGATCAATCTCCCAAGGCAAAAGCAATAAAAACCAAAAATAAACAAATAGGACCTAATCAAACTTACAAGCTTTTGCACAGTAAAGAAACCTTCAACAAAATGAAAAGACAACTTAAGGAATGGGAGAAAATATCTGCAAATGATGTGACTAAAATGGGGTTAATATCCAAAATATGTAAATAGCTCATATGACCAAATTAAAAAAAAACCCAATCAAAAAATGGGCAGGAACTTCCCTGGTGGTCCAGGGAAGACTCTGTGCTTCCAATGCAGGGGAAGAAGGTTCAGTCCCTGGTTGGGGAAGTAAGATACCACATACCGTGTTGCGTGGCCAAAAAGGAATTTTAAAAAAAGGGCAGAAGACCTAAATAGAGATTTCTCCAAAGAAGACATACAGATGGCCAACAGGCACATGAAAGATGCTCAACATGGCTAATTATTAAAGAAATGAAAATCAAAACCATGATGAGGTATCATCTCACACCAGTAAGTATGGCTATCATCAAAAAGTCTACAAATAAATGCTGGAAAGGGTGTGGAGAAAAGGGAACCCTGCTACACAGTCGGTGGGAATGTAAACTGGTACAGCCACTATGGAAAACAGTATGGTGGCTCCTCAAAAAAAACTAAAAATAGAGCTATCATAGGATCCAGAAATTCCACTCCTGGGTATGTATCTGGAAAAGACAAAAACTGTAATTTGAAAAGATACATGCACACCAATGTTCATAGCAGCACTATTTACAATAGCCAAGACATGGAAACAACCCAAGTGCCCATCAACAGACAACTGGCTTAAGATGTGGTATGGATACAATGGAATATTACTCAGCCATAAAAAGAATGAAATATTGACATTTGCAGCAACATGGATGGACCCAGAGAATATTATACTTTGTGAAGTAAGTCAGACAGAGAAAGACAAATATATGATATTATTTATATGTGGAATCTAAAAAATAATACAACTCAATCTATTTAATACAAAACAGAAACACACTTACGGACACAGGAAACAAATTTATGGTTACCAAAGGGGAGAGAGAGGGAGGAAAGGACAAATTAACAGTGTGGGATTAACAGAAACAAGCTACTTTACATGAAATAGATAAGAAACAAGGATTTACTGTATAGTACAGGGAATTATACCCAACATCTTGTAATAACCTATAATGGAATATATTCCATTATTGGAATATATTCCACAAAAAAACCAAACTGAATCACTATGCTGTACACCTGAAACTAACACAATATTGTAAATATATACTTCAACTTCAAAAAAAAGGAAATTAATTTTATAACCTATGTGTAAAATAATCAAAAAGAAATATTCATTATATAAAAAAATTATAACTGGGTACAAACTGTATTTTGAAAATAATCAATTATAGAAGCATACTTAAGACTTTCACTTAATCTAAGGGTACATACTTCCAGTTACAAGATTAATAACTTCTGGGGATCTACTGTACAATATTCTACAGTATTGTAGCTAACAATACTGTATAAAATACTTGAAAGCTGCTGAAAGAGTAGATCTTAAATGTTCTCACCCCAAGAAAGAAATGATAAATAGGTGACAGGATGGAGGTGTTAGATAATGTCATGGTGGTGGTCATCATTTTGCAACATGTAAGTGTTGCAAATCAACAAATTGTACACCTTTAAGTTATAGAATGTTCTATGTCAATTATATCTCAATAAACCCAGGGAAAAAAAAAGATTGTCACCTAAAAATCAAATGTCATGGTCTCTTCATAATAACAAAATAACAAATATTACCTCTTCCTTTGGAACAAAAAGTGATCAGCCAGCCAATACCAGCAGCAAACGCAGTTTGTATGGAGTTAACAAAATTTCCTTAAGAGAAAATAAAGAACATTTCTGATCATTTATTACTCCATAATGGAAACCGTTTTCTAAATGGGTTTTCCCTTCTAATGTCACCCATTTCCAATCCACTCTGAGTAGTTTTCAGGATTCCTAAAAATCCTCTTGAGCATATCAAATTCCTTCAACTATTTATTTTTTTAATCACATAAAATCTAAATTCATTATTTCATTAAGAAACAAATGGGCAAGTAAGGCCCCTTGTGATCTGAGCTTTGTCATATTCTTCCCCAAGCCACTCTACCCATTACCCATCTTCCCCAAGCCACTCTACCCATTACCCATCTTTTTGTTAGATTCATGAAATACTGCCAGTTTCCCAAATACAGTGACCTTTTAAGGCTTCTTCTTCACTTTCAAGACAGGTTATATCTGACCTCGTTCAAGAAGAATTTCCTAACCCTTCCTCCTTTTCCCACCCGAGTTCTTTCATATCCTTCATGCTTCCCTAAGCTTACCTCTATCATAATGGTTACTACACTGCATTTTAATGGTTTACTAACGGGGACCTGGAAGGTAGGGATTACATAGTTTATTACTACAGCCCTGGTATTTAACATAGTTTCGGAGACATAACTGTATTCAATGACTGATATGGGCATCCCTTTAGAAGTAAATACTATCATTTCATGGGTAGTACAGATAATTACTAAAGTCACTTGATGAATTCAAAACCTAAGATTAGAAGAGTTTTTAAACTTCAAAATTAAACTGAATACAGGCATGAATTTACTGCCTGATGTAGTATACTTATGAAAGCAATAAAACACTTGGTTTACTAAATATTTAGTTGCACTTTCAAAGTTGCCTTTTCACCTAGCCCCACTTCATACCCATGTCCTACATCAAAATTGTTTTAGCTTATGTCTAAATATAGTTAATTTATTAAATGCCTACTATTTAGTAGGGCTCAGAACAAATGACACAATTCCCTTCTAAGAAGCATGGAAAAGATATTTTAAAATTTCAGTATCATGACCAGAACATTGCCACTGAAAAACTTAAAATACCAATTCAAAGTATCCTTGAAAATCAAGCAAATTATGAAAACAAAATTACCTGTCCATAATTCTGTCACTGTGCTTCTAACATGCTGCATGGCGAAATTCACTAAACTTTCCTTTGATCTGTCACCATGGTATTTCACTGCAGCCTATTTTTTTATTTATAAAAAGAGAAATGTCTTTTACTTTTTCTTTTTAAAACTCATACCAAATACCTTGATTCTCCATTATTCTGAATAAGGAAGCTGTCTCTCAATAGTACAGTGTATTTCTAACTGACATGCTAAGAATCTTGACTGCACACATTCCATGTCAGACATTTGAATAATAATATTTATAATGTTTTTAGTTTCACTTTTATCACAACACTGGGGAGAGGAAGGGAAGTCAGAACTTTACATTCAATGAGAGAAAACACCTGTAAAATACTTTGTAAATTATAAAGTACAACATGCATACTGGTTAACATTATGTTCTTTAAGATGGAAACTGAAATTGGCAAACATTTAATTTTGAAATAGAACAAAGACAAACTAATGGCATCTAAAAGTATTCACAGTATAATAAAAAATGTTTACTATGACTATAGTTAGATGGCATCTAAAATAAGACTTAAAAATCAAAAGATTCTACAAATTCACATAGTGTTTTATCTAGTATTCCCCTTGTTATAATGTCCTACCAATTAAAAAAAAAAAAATGCCAATTTTATCTCTTACCATTCCAGACCTAAAAATGAAGAGGCTGGGATAACTGTTCACTCCTTTCATTCGGCAAAGCATTCTATCATCGCCACAGTTAACAGCTCCAATTCGAAGCAATCCATCTACTTCTTTAGCAAAGTCTCTCCACTATGAGGAAAAAAAAAGTTTCTTCTGATAAGATCATTTATCTTTCCCTGAACATTCTTCAAGCTGTACTTTCCTCTTTTTTTTAATTAATTAATTATTTCTTTTTGGCTGCACTGCATCTTTGTTGCTGCGTGCAGGCTTTCTCTAGCTGCAGAGAGAGGGGGCTACACTTTGTTGTGGTGCGCAGGCTTCTCATCGCAATGGCTTCTCTTGTTGCAGAGCACAGGCTCTAGGCACACAGGCTTCAGTAGTTGTGGCTCCCGTGCTCTAGAGCACAGGCTCAGTAGTTGTGGCATACGGGTTTAGTTGTTCCGTGGGTTTAGTTTTTCCGTGGCATGTGGGATCTTCCTGGGCCAGGGCTTGAACCTGTGTCCCCTGCATTGGCAGGCGGATTCTTAACCACCGCACCACCAGGGAAGTCCCCAAGCTGTACTTTCTTAAAGGAGATTATGCTCAGGAAATAAAACCATATACACATGAAAAAATATTATAGTCATTTCTGTTATAGTTACTACTAATAGAAAAAACACTCAAATAACACTCAAATTTAAAGAAACACTCAAATAACAGATCAGTTGTGAATAGTAAAACTTTAAATCAGGATGTAAAAAATACGTACTGTGGGAGCTAAATCATGGCAGTGTGAACACCCTGGGGAGTAAAAGTTCACAAACCACAGTTCTCCAGAATTAACAGCAGCATCTGAAAGTACATAAAACCAAAACAACTTAGAACAACCAAAACAACCAATTTACTAAAGGTTTGTACCTATTTTAGTTAAAAATTTTCCTTGAGATCAGAATGAAAAAAAAACATATATTTCTCACACTGCCTTTATCATTTTCTGTATAATATTTTCTGTAAGAAAAAAACGTACTATTTCAACTGTCAAACTAACAATACCTTTTTTTTTTTGACTCTTCCAAGCCCTACTTGAATAAGAAGCAACCTTGAACTGCATGATCAATGTCACCAAGAAGCTGTAAAAAGAAAGGAAGCAACAAAAGGAAGCAAGAGCCAAACCTCATGACAGTCTGTGTGGTTGAGAGAAATGAAGAGAAACAGTGCGAGAGACTGAGATTTAAGCTCTTCTACTATCTGCAGCACTGGTTAGGCACACAGTCAATCAATTCTGACAGCTACTCCAGATTCTGAAAGAATGAAGAGAACTACACGACACAGTAAGGACTGTGGGGATTAAATCTAATCTTTGTTCTTAATAAGACATTTTCCTTGGAAAATTGTGTTATTTGAAATATTAGATCAAAGTTTTTAACAATTCAAAACATGAATACATATTTGCTAATAGATCTGAACACTACATAATATCTATTCAACAATACATTATATGTTATAATCTAATCTATGAGAAGACCTGATATAAACAAAATTTATTCATTTAAAAACTGTATCATTGTAAGGATGTGCTCTAACAGTCAAGATAAAAAAGTTAAGAAAATTTGCTTTTAGTTAGCGTCTCCATGTAATTCCATATGAAAATCAGTTATCAGTAATTTTTAAAGAAAATATTTTCATAAGTTATAATAAATTATACCAAGACACCAAAACACACACACTATTTTAAATATGTGTAACTGATTCAGATTAATTAGTAACATGCACAATAATGTTCACCTACATTTCAGTTACAAGACACACAGATCTATGTGAAAAACAGTTAAATCATACATTACAAGCAAAGTGTATACATTAGGATTTTATCAGCTGTTCTTTGGCAAAGGTCAGAAAGTCTGACAAATAGAGCACTCTATCTAGGTTGTCAAAATAATTGCCATGCTGACTTAGATCAACTGGTATGAATTTAGGTAAAATCTTATATGTTCTCTGGCCCCTTTCCTCTGAGACCGCTATGATGCAAATGTTAGTACACATGACGTTGTCCCAGAGGTCTCTTAAACTGTCCTCATTTCTTTATATTCTTTTTTCATTTTCCTGTTCAGCTTCAGTGATTTCCACTACTCTGTCTTCCAGCTTGCTGATCCATTCCTCTGCATCGTCTAATCTACTGTTGATTCCTTCTAGTGTATTTTTTCATTTCAGTTATCATATTCTTCATCTGTTTGGTTGTTCTTTATATTTTCTAACTCTTTGTTCAAAAACTTCTAACTTCTCACTCTGTTCATTCAATCTTCTCCCAAATTCTTTGAACATCTTAACAATATATTTAAAGTGATGAAAGGGAAAAACCTATAACCAGGAAGACTCTACCCAGCAAGGCTTTCATTAAGATTTGAAGGACAGGGCTTTCCTGGTGGCGCAGTGGTTGAAAGTCCGCCTGCCAATGCAGGGGACACGGGTTCGTGCCCCGGTCCGGGAAGATCCCACAGGCCACGGAGCGGCTGGGTCTGTGAGCCATGGCCGCTGAGCCTGCGTGTCTGGAGCCCGTGCTCCACAACGGGAAAGGCCACAACAGTGAGAGGCCCGCGTACCACCAAAAAAATAAATAAATAAATAAAAACGACTCGAAGGACAGATCAAAAGTTTTACAGAGAAGCAAAAGCTAAAAGGTCATCACCATGAAACCAGCTTCACAAGAAATGTTATAGGGACTTACCTAAGTGAAAAAGAAAAGGCCACAACTAGAAAAATGAAAATTATGGAAGAAAAAAAATCTCATTGTTAAAGTCAAATATACAATAAAGGTAGTAAATCAGCCATGTATAAAGCTAGTAGAAAGGTTAAAAGACAAGTAGTAAAATATATACTCGATAAATAATTAAGGAATATATAAAACAAAAAGATATAAAATATGACGTCAAAGTCAGTAAATGTGGTGGAGGAGGGAGTAAAAATGCAGGGCTGTTAAAATTAGTTAATAAGCACACACACAGAGACTGCTACGTACAGTGTGTGGAGTAGTCAACGACTATGTAATATCTTTGTATGGTGACATATCATAATCAGACTTACTGCAGTGATCACTTTGTAATGTACAGAAACAGCAAGTCACTATGTTGTGTAACAGGAACTAACACAGTGTTGTATGTCATTACACTTCAGAAACAAACTCACAGAAAAAGAGATCAGGTTTATGGTTACCTGAGGCGGGGGTCGGGGGGAAGGAGAGTTGGATGAAGGTGGTCAAAAGGTACAAACTTCTAGTTACGAGACAAATAAGTACTAGGGATGGAATGTACAACATCATAAATATAATCAACAATGCTGTATATCATATATAAAAGTTGTTAAGAGCAAATCCTGAGAGTTCCACTACAAGAAAACATTTTTTCCTATTTCTTTAATTTTGTATCTGTATAAGATAATGAATATTTACTAAACTTATTTTGATCACCATTTCACGACGGATGTATGTCAAATCATGCTGTACACCTTAAACTTATACAGTGCTGTATGTCAGTTATATCTCAATAAAACTGGAAGGGAAAAAAATAATGGCATTTAATTTGACACAAAACCTTATTTAAAGTGGGAAAAAAAATGTCTCCCATCTTGGTACTTTGTTTTCATAGACTACTTCTAACTTATTTGACCAGTTCCCACTATTATTAAAAATATTTTTAATACTGTATTATCAAAGCTCAATGGGGTGTTTTTGCATAACCCAATAACTCAGAATAGAACAAGTATATTTCAAAATGTGATTTTCAGCTTCTAAACTATACAACTATAGCTAGTGTCTGTTAATATTTATGTGATTATAGCTAATAGCTTCTGTTAGCCTAGAAAAATGTAAAAAGAGGCAGAAGTGCTTTGATTTCCTCTTTAATTTCTTGAGCTTGTCTTCAAAAGGAGAATGTATTGTGTGGGTACTACTCAAAATGACTACTGTTAAGTGCAAGATGTTCTTTGCTTTTGCAGATACTATCTAGAACTTGTTTTAATAACTGCGTAATACTTTTCTGTGACATATGAAAAGATAATATGCATCATGTTTAATGGGAAGGATAAGAACTTCAAACTGAAGTTTATTAGTCACATTTTTTCTTCTGTACTATAGTTGAACACTTCAGAGTTCCACTCCTGATAAAAGTGAACTATGTAATTTGGATTAACTCTTCCACTACAACTTCAGAACTGGACAAAATACAAAAGACTTTTGTTGAAAGCATCAAAGAGTTACCAATGCAGAGAAGAATTACAGGGCCCAGGAATGGGAGGAGGTAGAAATCAGGGGGGGCAATGTTTGCCAGGAGGTAGTTGATAGGTAAGAAACTGAGCAGAACTTTCAATAGATTCATGAGACTAGAGGGACAAAGATGGAGTTCAGGGCACACGTAGAGAAGGGTCCTGTAAATAAAGATGAACTGGAAGGAGACCAGTCCTGTACAAGTACAAAGCTCAGCTTTTGAATCATTTCAGTCTCTGTTTGGATAAAGCTGATCTGAGATTGTTAGTGACCCTAGTCAGAGGAAAATATAACTTCTCTCTGGAGCAAGAGAACATACATAACTTAAAAATAACTCCATAATTGTTTATATAATTAGTTACACAAAAGACCAGATTAAGTGACCCAAACCAACAGAAACTATTGGTATTGGAAAGAGACCCACAACCAAGTATGCTAATGTGATATTTACATAGGCACAAGTTGATACAACTATCCATCCTTATTTATCGTCCTCCCTAGGCTTCTTCAGCTAAAAGTTAAGGATCAGCTTGTCTTAGCCTAGTAATACACAGGGTAGTATTAGAGTTCAGACTGAATAGTGGCAACTTTGCACCAAACCTATCAATGTCAGTTAATTATTTCTGAAAAACTGTCTCTAAGGTTTTGTGACTGTTAATTAATTCTTAACTACTATTTGGAGTTCCATATAAATTATTAGCAGTTCTTAACCTTTTCTCTATAATGACAAATTTGAAAAAGTTTGAACCCATGTGCAATACAACCATCAGGAAAGTCTTTCATTCTGGGTGGATTCATGGATTAGTCAGCTTGCAGGATTTTTTCAGTTTCTCTAATTCTATGTCTAATTTCAAAGTTTTCTGCCCCACAGGACCACAAAATACTTATTGACTGACTCGCAGATGAGAGACAATAACCACAGAAAAATCAATAGGTTCATATAACTACAGTCCAAAAAGTTATGATTCTGCAAGTTTGTGACATGGGTGTCAGTTCTGTCTACCAACAATACAAATGAATCAAATTATCCTCCATCTCCTCTGTAGAGAAGACACTCATTTTCCTTAGAGCTTGTTCAAGTGTTCACTACAAGACTTTTAACAAAATAATGTACTGAACAGCTACCTTGTAGGCCTGAACTCGCCAACATGATATACAAAGTAAGAATCCGATGCAATTCTTCCTTAGAAGGAACTGTACAGAAACAAGTGACTGCAACACATTGTTTATGATGATAACATGAGAAATTATATAAATTTATTTTGCAGCTAGTATGCTATTTTAGTTTTCTAAATTAAATGAGACTGTAACACAGCAAAATAAAACTGAAATATGATTTGAGGTAAAATATATTGGTTTGAAGTAGAAAAGAATATTTTATTACAAGTGTACAAATTTGAAAATGTAAGAATCTTTTAGGTTTTCTACAATGCAATGCAAAGTGCAGAAGTATATTTTTATATCCATTTTCACACAAATCACAGATCAAATTAAATCTGCTTCCAAAAATAACCACATACTTATTCAAAACCCTGAAATATAAAAGTTCTAAAACCAGAAGTATTTCTGCAAGTTTGCAGGAAGCTCACCTGGCATACAAACCTATCCTGAACTGATATGGGGGCTATGTGTTATTTTTACTTCTTTTATTTAGTATATACACTTATGCATTTCACTGCATACATATTATTTTTTAAAAAATAGTACACTGCCCCACATTCTGCTAAAAACTTTTTTATCAGTGCTAATATTTTTATTTTGTTCTCATCCAGCTTTTATCCTCTATGCATATATGTGTATACCTTTTGTATGATTTGTTTTATACTGCCTATACAATTTTGTATTAGGCTTTTTTTTTTTTACATAACTACTCTTAAATATAAACACTTTTTAATAATGTGAAAAAATATAGAAAAAAGAATATTGGTTCATTATTTCAAATGTGTCAATTATATACAAACACACACGTACAGAATGTTGAGGATGTTGCTAGCACTTCTAAGGTTTCATTTCAACTGCCAAATGAGAGGAATAATTATTGTTGCTAATACACAGAATGTCATAAAAGTTCACTGACATAATGGAAAGAAGAGTTGATGATGACAATAAAAGAAACTATGCGAAAACCTCAACTATGGTTATAGAACATTATTTAAAATACAGTATATACCATATTACCTTGCTAAAATTTTAAAAATTTCTAAATTCATTTGTTCTTGAGCATTTTAGTTAGGAGATTGGTCTTGAACTAGCTTTAGAAAATCATATACCCACAAACTTACCGAATTCTCTTCTATCCAATGTTATGATTTCAGGATCATCGTCATAAATACCTATTTTGAAAAGCACATAAAATTATAGTTAAAACTTCATTATAAAAATAAATTACCACATAAAAGATGTTACTTATTTTTGTTTTAATCATCAAAAATCAGATTGCTATACTAAATCTCCAAGTGGAAGAATATGCAACACACTAAGAGAAAAGCAGAGACTAATAATACCATTGGTGATACATTTAAAGAGTATCAAATGACATCAGTTTCCTGATATGGACTGTCATGGGGTGTGTGTGTCTGTGTGTGGCAGGGGGCGGGGATTCCCAATATTCACACAATGTCATCTCCACAGAAAATTTCTGTTATACGTTTTTTAAAAAAAGTTTTTATTTTGAAATAATTATAGACTTGCAGGAAATTGTAAAAACAGTTCAGAGTCCTACTTATCTTTCATCCAGCTTCCCCTAATGGTGACATACTATGTAATTTTAGTACAATATCCAAACCAGGAAATTGGCACTAGTACATTACTGTTAACTAGATTACAGACCTCATTCACTTTCAGACTGCATGTTTTTTTTTAATGTGTTATTGTTTAAAAATATTTTGTATTGCTAAAAGTCTTATATAATTAGAATACTTGAAGAGGTAGAAGCAAACTTAAGTAAATATAAATTTTATTTATAATAATAATTAACACCAATGTGAGAAAGTTTCTCATTACTACATAAATTATCTAAATATTAGTGATGGATATATACCAGGGGTTAGTAAATATTTTAGATTTTGTGGGACATATGGTTTCTGTCACAGCTATTCAACTCTGCCCCTGAAATGTGAAGAATAATATGTAGATAAATGAACAAAACTGTATAAATAAAACTTTATTTACAAAAGCAGGTGGCAGGCTGGACTTAGTCTGTGAAATATAGATTGCTGACACCTGTTATAGACTATTAAGCTATAGTGATTATACCTGAAAATACTATTTTGAAAAGTCAGTCTTGAGAAACAAATACTCCAGATACAAAGTGTAAATATTTTATTTAGTCTAAGATAAAAGCATACTTCAGTTCTCTGCCTGCATTTGAGGCTAATTAAGAGAGATTGTAAATATTATGTGTTACCCTTAAAACAATCACAAGAGAACTACTGGGTATCGGAATGCTTCCTCTCTGTTTGACACCTGTATTTACTTCCCCCCTCCCTCAATCTCTTTAACTTGTTTACTCTCTCTGCTTTTCTCTCATTTCTCATTCCTGTCAATACCTCCAACCATTATTAATCATTACTACTTAAGAAGAATGGCATTTCTACTGAAGTGACCACTATTAAAGGAAATTTCAGTCTTCCTTGGAAAATGTGATGCTCTAAAAATACTGAAAGGCTTCAATATTTAACTTCTAATACAAATATTTTAAAAAATTAAATAGCAATCCTTATTTCAAAAGTATTTAGCAAGATTATGACCAAAACACCTTCATATTTATACAGATATCTACATACTACTTGACTTTCCTTTTGAATGCCAGTCTCATGTTATATTAAAAAGGTCAATGGGGGGCTTCCCTGGTGGCTCAGTGGTTAAAAATCTGCCTGCCCATGCAGGAGACATAGGTTCGAGCCCTGGTCCGGGAAGATCCCACACGCTGCGGAACAACTAAGCCCGTGTGCCAGAACTACTGAGCCTGCGAGCCACAACTACTGAAGCCTGCGCGCCTAGAGCCCATGCTCCCACCACAATGAGAAGCCTGCACACCATAACGAAGAGTAGCCCCCACTCGCCGCAACCAGAGAAAAGCCCGTGTGCAGCAACAAAGACCCAACGCAGCCAAAAATAAAATTAATAAAATAAAATAAATTTTAAAAAAGGTCAAGGGGACACATGCTAACTACATAATAGTTTATACATAAGCTAAGTGGTGAAACAAAATTTTCTAAATTTACTCGAATAAACAATAATTTCATAAGGAATATCATATCATCTTACCAAAATCATAACGATAATAATTCCAGCTTTCATACTGGCCTCCTTGATTATCTGCAAGTCCCTTTTCTCCATATTTGTCATACTTTTTCCGCAGATCTTCATCTTTGAGTACTTCATATGCTCTGTTTATTTTCAAAAAATCACTATGTGCATCTGGGTTATTCTATTAAAAAATATTAGATATAATATTTGTTTCCGATACACAATCGATTTAACTTAATCCTGAGATTTCTGTGTGAACAGATACCAAGATAAGGAGGAGAGTAGTACTATATGAAATGGGTGCTCATGCTCTGAAATAAAAAAGTCAAAAAGTATTTCTAAAGAACTCCGATCTTAAAAATACGAAAGTAATAGAAATGAGAACTGACGCTTCAAAAGGTTGATAGAGGTGGTCATCAAGTATAAGTCACTAATTCTAAGAGATGCAACAGAAAAAACTGACTAATGAACCCTTGGAAACACTTAATATTGTAAATATTATGTGTTACCCTTAAAACAACCACAAAGAAATTTGTAGGTTAGTTTTCTATTTGAGGCAAAACTCAGTACTTTAAGTAAAAAAAAGTTATGTACTCCAATCTATCAGATAATGACAAAAGGACTAAAATCAGAGTAACAACTCAAAAGTGGATTAATACATTTCATTTGTTACTGTTTCACAGAATTGTTTTCTGAAGAATGTTTTCATCTAAATACTTCGTTGTAAGTGGTCTACCATCTTTCATGTAGAAACTTAAAAGAAATAACATTCTGAAATTTTAAAGAAAAATCTGAAAAAATGAAAACCCTAAACACAATACAATGTAGATCTCAAGAAAAGATTACCAATTAATAAGAGTTTTAGAGAAATACTGATTCTATTGCTCAGCTTTATGTAATCAAAATAAAATAATCCTATTTAAAATTTTATCTAGGGACTTCCCTGGTGGCCTAATGGTTAGGATTCTAGGCTTTCATTGCAGTGGCCGGGGTTCAATCCCTGGTCAGGGACTGAATCCGTGGTGAGGCCAAAAACAAAACATAAAAAATAAATAAAAATAGTAAAACAAAAAAAACAAAACTGCAGTTACTGAAATTAACAGTAAAAAAAAATTCTATCTAGATATAATTAAATTTTTCTCCTTGATGAGTATCAAATCTCATTAAGAAAAAAATGAATGAGATAAATTATAAAAATACCTTAAGAATTAAAACTAATACAGTTTTGAAGGATTACATCATAGGATACATAATCAAATATTTATGTTTGGAATTAACTGGATTTGGCTGCTCCCAAGTTTTAATTTATAATATTTTCTAACTCTGTTCTTAGACTTGCACATGGGAGAAAATAGTTAAAGTTGAAGCATACTATTATTAGCTATTACTGCCATTTTCAGCAAGACATACCCTCTAAGTTCTAAGGAAATAATTTTTCTGTTACTGTACTAAAATACTTGATTTTAAACTACTTTACTAGGAAATCTACTGCTTTGTGATTAACATCTGTAATGTAACTGTTGGAAATTAGTTTTCAAATTAAGAGAGAACTGTGTTTTTCGTACTGACATTCCTTTACACTATCCTGAACTTAGAACATTTTGCTTCTGTTTTTAGTACAGAAGTTGAATTATGATTTTTGACATGTGATTGTTCTTAAGCATTTTGAGCACTTATTTAAAATAATTTTTAAAATAATTTAAATACATACCAAAACTTACTAAAACACATTAATTAGATATGTTCAAAAAGAAATTTTTACCTACCGGGTTTTTATCAGGATGTAGCTTCAATGCCAATTTCTTGAAAGCCTGTCTTATTTCTCTACTGCTTGCAGTTTTGGATACACCAAGTAAACTGTAAAAATCCTGATCTGTACCCACTAAAATGGCCATATACACTATTAGAAAACAGAGCATGACCCTTTTCAAGTCTCTGAGATAGTCATCTTTATTTAACCAGACTCCCATTGTTTTTCTTGTACAAGTTCTGACTCAAGTGAACATTAAGATAATGCCACTGGTTCCGGTTGATGTAATATGCAAATCTGAGAACTTCTGTCCACATTACTCCAAAGGTGAAACAGGTATCATGAATTTTTTCCCAAAATGTTAATCTAAAGAGAGAAAATCAGGGTAGTTGAAATACGTTAATAAAAAAACCAAACACATCAATAACGCTACTTACTAAATAACATGGCCAGTAATAAAATCTCCAGTAAATGACAAATCCTGGTGAGTGCCTCAGGCTCTGTTCTTTGGGGGCCCTGCTTCCGTTATCTAGGTAGCCAGATTCGTGAGATCACTCAAGGTAGCAGATAAAGGTAAAAGGTAGCTAGTGAGGTTGCAGCTACCTAGAACTCTTTACGAACAAGTGCAACAACTTGCTCTATCAGCACCAGAACACGAGGGGGGAGAGTGGGGGGAGAGCTATTTCCTTCCATCTTCTACCCAGCTTAAGCTTGCCTCTTTTGATGTGCTTCCTTTATGGTTATTTCTTCACCCCTTTAAGGCTATTCAGTTTTCATTTCAATCAAATTTCACTTGTAGGAAATATCCTTTGGGGGTACTAGAAAGAAGCAACAGATCCTTCCAAAGGGTCTGTATTTTTCATATAAACCGTCCAAGAATAGCAGTGAATTTATATCGCTGTAACAACTTACATAGTCGGACGTTTTTTCCCCTGAATTTTCTCAGAAGGTGCTTACGTTATACCTAAGTAGTTACTATTTTATAAACTAGAAGACTAATAACTGCAAGTTAACAGTAATTTTATCGCAAAGTTTACATTTGGCGTTAATAAAAATAGAAAAAGAAACAAAAGGAGAAAAGGAATCAGTTATTTAGACGTGCTCACCTGTGTAGGGTAAAAATAAAATCAGATCACATGTAAACTTGTATACTTTATCAATAGTTCCAAACATGTCATAATGTTTCGAAAAAATCTAACCTTCCTAGCATCCTCAGTTCCTCCTTTCTTCATTTAATCCTAAATGCCTATTTAAAATTTTTTCTTCCTTACCTGTGAATGGTTTTGGTTCATTTCTAATCCTTTTCACGCCACCAGAAAACCCTTTGTAAAATAGAGTGATGGAGATTAATAAACATCCAGACTAAAAAACAATGTTTAGAATAAAGTAGAGAATATATCCTCAAACACCACTTTTAGACAAGCGATGTTTGTTCCCTGCCTAGCGGTGGTTCTCAGACAGCGTGGGCGTGCCTGAGGCTGTGCGCCGAGCTGCGGGGACAGGTGGAAGCTGCAGGTAAATGCAACACTAACTCCTCGCTGCCACCACTCCAGGATGGGTTGCAGGGAGGGGGGAAAGATGGAGACACTGGGTGAAAGAGACTGTCAAGTGTTGCTGGTGTGTGAAATCTCAGGTTGGATTAGGGAGAAAGGAACCTGGATAACTGAGGGTAAAGTGAGAAATTGGAGCAAAAAGCGGGGAATTGCTGGGCGGAGGAATGGCGGTGTAGGTAGAAGGGAGGAAGAAGACTGGAAGCGAGAACACAATAAACCAGCCTCAAGAGCGAAAAGGAGAGGAGATTCCGGTGCAGAAGCATTTAGCCCCTCCCTTCCCGGAGGGCCCAGGCCGTCGCCAGCTCCAGCAGAACCCAGTTCCCCGCCCATGCCCACCTCGGTGCTGCGAGGTCGTCTCCTGCAGCTACTTCCCCATCCTCAGTACCCAGCGGCGGACCCCACTAGGCCAAACACAAGCTGTGCGTGCGGTAAGGAAGCACGCACTTCTGACCGCTGGTCCGCAGCGCCCGAGATGTGGTAGGAGCAGCCACCCGCACCAGCAGCTACAAGCGCGGTCGGTTCGGCTCGCCTCCTCGCGCAGCCGTCTCCTAGGCGAGGCGAGGCGGGGCCTGGCGCGGTGCATTGTGGGAAAGGCGTGGAGGAGGCTGCTTGGGAGGACTCGCCTCAGGATCTGCGGGCGCAGCGGGGTGGGGAGGGCGGTGTAGGTTTAGGTTGACGTGGCCGTTTGCGCGGAATCCGGGTCCGGCTCCGGCTCCGGCTCCAACCTGGAGCTGAAGAACACGCAGTACCCACAAAACCCGCGCCGCCGTACCATCGCGGCTGGCCCACGCCGCGGACAGGAAGCTGGACGACAAAGTCCGCCCCCTTCTGCTCCCGTTGCTGTGGTGACGGGACCAATTTCCCCCCCCTCCCCCGGAGGGCGGGTTTAGGCGTGCAATTTCCCTGTGACCCTGTTCTTCTTAAAGGGAAAGGCACAGCTGTAGAGGATTTTTCTGGTCGTTGGGTGGGTGGGGCAAAAAGGGGAATTTAACTTAAGTGACATTGATAGCAGTGTCGGTCTAGAGGGCTGAAGAGGCAGTAGGAAATTTGGAAGAAATAAAAATATTTATGAGTGTGTGGGTGACAAATCTTTGAGCATTCTACAGTATTGCCTGACTTCCTAGTCATCCAAGCTGGAAACTGGGGAGTTATCCATACTCCTCTCTCCCACATTTACATCTAAATGATGTAACTAGAAACTGCATTTTTGATCTGCAGAAATGTAACTAGAACGATGGAAGTAGCTGCATTTGCAACCATCAAAAGAAAACATCCTGATGAGGATGCTGGCTTATGACATCAACCCTAATATAAGTTGTAATTGGTAACAATTTCATGTGTAGTAAATCAAATGTCAGCTTGTTAAAAAATGATGACCATGTAGGATCCATAGCTAAACTAATATATTGCCCTAAAGAAAAGAAAGTAGTCAGAGCAAAGGCAGAAATATTAGAAGCAACCTAATGTAATAGTAGCTAATAAGTGCCAGGAACTGGTCTAAGCACACATGTAATTCAGTCCTCCAAGTAATCTTATATGACAGGGACTATTCATATATCCATTTCACAGTTGAGGAAACCAAGGTAAATATATGATAGAGCTGAGATTCACACCTGAGCAGCCTGGCTCCAGAGACTGTAATGTTAATCATTATGTCACCCTGTGAGCCACGAAAATCTTTAGAGTAAATTGAAGAGCAAAAAAGAAAACTGGAAAATGAAGCAGGGGCCAAGATTACAGTGGGTTTTATGCCATGATGAAGACATAGACTACCTTTTAGGTAATCAAAGCTTAAAGCTTTTAAGTAAGGGACTGAGATTGTATTTTAGATCATTCTGGTAGCTATTGGAGCGTGAATACAAAGGGACCATGACTGGAGAAAGGGAGAGCAGTTAGGAGAATGTTACAGAAAGAGTAAATTTGGCAAGAAATGGTGATTAGTTGGTTGTGGGAGATAAAAGAGAGAAAGGATCTAGGGTTAACTTCTGGTTTAGGTGGCTGAGTATCACTCACGGAATGAAGATCTGTTTAGGGAGAAGATAAAGGATTCTGATTTGGATATATCTATTTCAAGTTCCCTAGATTATGTCCAAATAAAGATACACAGCAGGGTCATACTGCTCCCTGCATGACAGGCCAATAAATCAAGAGATCAGTTTTGGGGGCAAGGAAGAGCAACTTTATTCAGAAAGCCAGCAGACCAAGAACATGGCAGACTTGTGTCTCAAAAAACCATCTTGCCTGAGTTAGAATTCAGCCTTCTTTTATACTAAAAGGGGAGGGAGTAAAGTCAAACATTTCCTGGTTCTGGTCAACCTCCAGAAGGGATGTGTTAATTTCTTCCTTGCAGTCATTCACAGGTGGACCTGGTCAGGATGTTTCCTGTGAGCTCTACAAAGGTATTTTACCTTAATGCTCATTACCTGGGAGGCAGGGTTCCCAGAGATGGGCATTATGTGTAATTTAAGATTATAGGCAACATCCCTTTAGTGATTAACTTGTAATAGAATACAACGGTTCTTCCCTATTACATAACCATCAGGGAAATGCAAATCAAAACCACAATGAGATAACACCTCACACCTGTTAGAATGACTATGGTTATAAAGATAAGAGATAACAAATGCTGGAGTGGACATGGAGAAAAAGGAACCCTTGTGCACTGTTTGTGGGAATCTAGATTGGTATAGCCACTATAGAAACCAGTACCGAGGTTCCTCAAAAAGCTAAAAATAGAACTACCATGCGATCCAGCAATTCTGCTTCTGGGTATTTATCAAAATAAGATGAAAACACTAATTAGAAATGACATATGCATCAATATGTTCACTGCAACATTATTTACAATAGCTAAGATATGGAAAGAGCCTAAATGTCCATTGAAGGATGAATAGATAAGAAAAATATGTATATATAGTGGAATATTATTCAGCCATAAAAAAGAATGAAATATTGCCATTTGAGACAACATGAATGGTCTTTGAGGGCATTATGCTAAGAGTAATAAGTTGGCAGAGAAAGACAAATACTGTATCATCTCATTTATATGTGCATTCTAAAAAACAACACCAAAACAAAAAACCAAGCTCTGCATAGATACAGAGAACAGACTGGTGGTTGCCTGAGGCTGGGGGTAGGAGGATTGGTGAAATGCGGGAAGGAGTCAAAAGGTGCAAACCTCCGGTTATAAAATAAATAAGTCCTGAAGACGTAATGTACAGCAGGGTGACTATAGTGAATAATACTGTATTGGGTATTTGATTACTACAAGAGTAGATCTTAAAAGTTCTTAACACAAGAATAAAATTCTGTAAAATTCTTATTGTGGCAATCATTTCACAATATATAGAAATATCAAATCATTATGTTGTACACCTGAAACTAATATAATGCTGCCAGTGAATTCTACCTTAATTTTAATAAAAAGAATGTGGGCTTCCCTGGTGGCGCGGTGGTTGGGAGTCCACCTGCCGATGCAGGGGACGCGGGTTCGTGCCCCGGTCCGGGAAGATCCCACATGTCGCGGAGCAGCTGGCCCCGTGGGCCATGGCCGCTGAGCCTGCGCGTCCGGAGCCTGTGCTCCACAACGGGAGAGGCCACAACAGTGAGAGACCCGCGTACTGCAAAAAAAAAAAAAGAATGTAAGCTCCACGAAGACAGGAGTTTTTGTTTTAGTTGCTGTCAGTTATGCCAGTTCTTCCTGGCATATGGTAGGTACTAAATACATTTTTTTTGAATAAAACAAATTAATTTGAGAAGTGATCTGAAAAAGAAGAGCTCATCAAGGGGTCAAAAATGAGATGAGTAGATATATTCAAAAACAACTGAACATGAAGGAAGTTAATGAGAATGATTCAGGTAAGATACTGACTAAAACTTGTTAATTGGGTCTGCCAGTTAGGTTATAGCCATCACAGAAAGCACAATTTTACTGGGTGGTAAGGGTGGAAGCCAGATTGCAGTGGACTGGAGATTGGATGGGAACTGAGGAAATGGAAATTGTAAGTCAATGGGAATCTACTGAAAGTTTGGACGAAGAGAGAGGCAGGTAAACTTATTGCAATTCAAGGAGGATGTGGATTCAAGAGAGGAAATGCTTTAGGCTTGAAAAGACTTGAACAAGTTTAAAAGCTGTTTTGTGGGCTTCCCTGGTGGCGCAGTGGTTGAGAGTCTGCCTTCCATTGCAGGGGACATGGGTTCGTGCCGCGGAGCGGCTGGGCCCGTGAGCCATGGCCGCTGGGCCTGTGCGTCCGGAGCCTGTGCTCCACAGTGGGAGAGGCCACAGCAGTGAGAGGCCCGCGTACCGCAAAAAAAAAAAAAAAAAAAAAAAAAAAAATCTGGTTAGGAGCCAAAAAAGAGAGGGAGGCTGCAGATGTAGGAGAGAGTCAAGGGCCCGAGTGAATGGATTGATCATAAACAGTTCATTTATTCATTAACATTGTTTATTGTCCTCTGGGCTAGGTCCTTGGGGTAAAGTGGTGAGCAAAGTTATAACTCTGCCCCAAAGAAGTAGGAGGACGCATTAATCTTTTATTCAAGCAAATCTATAATTATGAAGGAAAAATATATAGTGCTGTGAGAGTAAATAACGGAGAACTGACCTTTGGGGAGCAAAGTGTTTGAAAAGGTATTACCAAAATAAATGAAATAAAATAAAAAAGAAATTTAATGTATACGGGCAAGGAATTAGAGAATGTTTTAGGCAGAGGGAAGAGCAAGTGCATGGTCTCTGTACTTCAAAAGTCCATGGGTTGATTGAGGATCAAAAAGAACAGAATGCAGTGAGCCTAAAGGAGAGAGAGTCAGCAGGATGACCCTGGTAAAATACACAGGGACAAGATCATGCAAAGTCTTATAGTTCATTTTAGGGATTCTTGTCTTTTTTCCTAAGAGCAATAAAAAGTCACAGCCAGTTTTAGACAGTGGAATATCATAATCATCAACATTGTTATTGTTATGATTTTACTTTAAAAAATTTGGGGGCTTCCCTGGTGGCACAGTGGTTGGGGGTCCGCCTGCCGATGCAGGGGACGTGGGTTCGTGCCCCAGTCCGGGAGGATCCCACGTGCTGCGGAGCGGCTGGGCCCGTGAGCCATGGCCGCTGGGCTTGCGCGTCCGGAGCCTGTGCTCCGCAGCGGGAGAGACTGCAGCAGTGAGAGGCCCGCGTACCGCAAAAAAAAAAAAATTTGGGAACAATCTCAATGTTACAAAAAATTTTAAAGTTTCTTTGTTTTCCTCAACCATTTGAGAGTAAGTTGCTGACATGTTTTCCCATTATTTCCCAAAACTGCGGTGTGTATTTTTTACAAACAAAGGCATTCTCCTATATACCCACAACACACTCATCAGAGAATTAACACTGATACATTATTATCATCTAATCTACTATCTAATCCTCATATCCCTTGTAGGCGTTGCAATTTGTCCCAATTATGTCCTTGTAGGATCCAGCTAACAACGTGTTTCATTTAGTTGTCATAACTCCTTAGCTCCTTCAGTTAGAAACAGTTCTTCCGTTTTTCCTTGA